TTCTGAAACACTTTCAAACATCACCATAACACTACTGAGATACTATGAAACACATTTTGAACCCTTCTCTCTCATTCTCAATCAAATCGTAGAATTCCTAAATGTCACTAAACGTCAAGCGTGTAATAATAGTCAGCATGGCCTGGACACCAGTACCGGCTCCCACATATCACCGAAGATCTTTATCGAGCGAACATTGTATTACATCATACCATTCTTTTTGACTCATGATACATTACACAGCCTGAAACGAGACTATGACAGTATCCCTACGATCAACTCCTTGATCACTATACCTAGTTATCATCATTACCGGTTTGTACTCTTTTCTCATTTCCGCATTCCAGTATCCCCGTGACTAACTCCTTAATCACAATATCTAGCCAAGCAATGTTGGACACCTTAATACCTAACGGGCTCAAAGTGTATCTTTCCATCACCAGATTTTTCTTCTCCACCAGTTGCCAGGCTATGTTAACGTGGTTACCATGTTATACAGGGCAATAATTTTGTATGTTTTTAGTCATTACAATATTATTGTGTAGCTAGGGAGTGAGTTTTCAAGTATTAACATGTACTCCCTCCGTTCCTAAATACTTGTCTTTCTAGGCATTTCAACAAGTGACTACATACAGAGCAAAATGAGTGAATCTACACTCTAAAATATGTCTACATACATCCGTATGTAGTAGTCATTTGAAATGTCTAAAAAGACAAGTATTTAGGAACGGAGGGAGTAAGAACTAGCATCAATCCACAGAAATACCATGAAGCAAGTCTTCTGGTGGTGCATATAACGTTCAATAACCCAACAACCAAATTTAATCACACAACTAAGTGGGTAATAATCTGGTAGGTGACAGTAATCTGGCAAGTACCAATGAATAAATTATCGAAACAAGTAGATATGATATCTAGTTTCGAAGACCTCGTCGCGAGGAAGCTAACATGAAAACAGATTGTCAGTCGGACTAAAGGTTTGAGACACAAACATTTTCTAAAATTCAAATGTAGAAGAATCCTTTATGACATCTTGCTATTGGATATATGCATGCATGAGAGAAAGGGGAGGGAGACACCGCATGGAAATGCAATTGTGTGGTGTCCTAGTCCGTTCCTTAATTCTGAGAGGGGAGAGTAGGCTAGATAGCCAATGGCCTCTCTAACCAAATCCTCAAAAGGGCATAACTCCTCAAAATACCACCTTTCAAGGAGTTAAGCCCACACCTAACCGAACTCTACTTTGGCTTAACCCATTAAATATTTGAGAAGAATTTGCCCTCTCGAAGTTGAAACAAAAGATCTCCTCCCCTCGTGTGACGGCCTCTCTCCCCGCTGGGCCTGTTAGAAGGGATAGAGAGGGATTGCTTGAATCGTTGAATGTTTATTGCTTGAGCCTCGCGGGCATATATATAGGACTACATGGCCATCTTGGAGTACAAGGCAAGGTAGAATAAATCCTACGCTGTCCTACGTTTCCTAAATAACCATGATACTCAACATCCTGCGGCAGTCAGAACGGTAGCGACGCAGACGACGTGACTCAAGAAAAATCCGAAGATAAGCCGACGGACATCTCTCCACAGTCGTAAAGGTTGATGCATCGCAGAACTTGTGGTTGGAGTGAAAACCAACGAGGTTGAGCAAGGCAGTAGCCCTTTGTGGCTCTGATACAATGTTAGAAGGGATAGAGAGGGATTGGTTGAATCGTTGAATGTTTACTGCATGGCCGCCTCCACACCGGTGCCACCTTCCTTGCCTCAAGCGGCTAGCCCCACACGCCCACCGACGCCCCGAGCCCCGCCAACCCCCCTCCCTTCCTTACCTCCAGCGGCTGTTGCTGGAATCACTGCATCTAGCAGCCGCCGCTATCACAAACTCATCGACGAGGGACACGATGACGCCGTGTTTCATCGGGAACGAAACCATGCAGCCACCCTGAGCACCCACACTGCCTCCAGAGATCCTCTTGGCATGTCCTCCTCCCCCGCTGGTGCATGCTCCTTTGTCGTTGCCCAGCAAATCGTTGGGTCGCCTCTCGCGGTAATAAAATGCGACAACTAATAGCAAAGGAGTTGCGCCGGGTCTCTGGGACATAAGAGCATTCTGGATGGATCTTCTACAAGTATATGAAGGACAAAGTAAGAGTTCTCTAAGGTCTAAGCTCTGGTTGCTGTTCTTTATTTTCAAGCAACGTTAGCTAATTAAGTGATGGCCATGGGCTGTTGTTTGATTAATGTTGTGCTGAAAGGTTGCAACTTTTGGTACTGGGAAGAGGAATACATTGACCTATAGATTGTAAGAGATCTATTGGATGCTGGTGTACAAGTTGCTAGAAACGAGATCACAAAAGAGGCATTATACGAGTTTCTTCATGTGGATGCAGAGAAGAAGCAAGTTTTCATGCTGGAGAAGGGCAAAAGTGTTTAGAAAGATGGCAATGGAGCTAAGGAGATGGAGAAAGTGTTGACTGCATTTGTAGTAGCAGTGAATGAAGTTGTGTTTCTATTGAAGTGTGTTCTTGTTCTTGTCCTCTTGTTTGGATTAGTTCTCTTGGTGAAGAACCAGTGAACTAGTTAAGTGTTTAGTATTGGTGCAAAAAATTTTAGTGTTTCCATGTGTGCCCTAATGTGTTCTGTATGAACTAGTGAAGTGTCGATGCTTTAGTTTGATGGCCTAATAAATGAATTTGTCTGCAATTTTACTTTAGGGAGTTAATTTTAGGGGTTTGGTTAGGTGCATGTTTTTTAAGTTCCGCTAAGGTTTGAAAAGGCATTTGAGTTAAAACTTAGGGGTTTGGTTAGAGATGCCTAAGTTGCAGCATCAATATGAACATGGACCCTACAGCTGATGCACCCAGTGACTTTGAAGATATATATGTAGGATACAGAAACAAGTACTAGTTGAGAGAGACAATGCTTGAACAAAAAAAAAGAAACTAATTTTTTTTGGCATCCTATACCGCATTTCAAAATCCTTTCATCTAATTGGATAATTATGGCAAATAACTAAGAATGAATTTCGATTAGCAGCTATAACTTGCTAATTTTTCTCATTAACATATATCTACGCTGGACAAAAGTATGGAAGGACCTGCGGCAAATCAGAATACATCCAAGTTTGAGGGCACGAAAATACCTTATCATTTAGGCTGTGATGGAGTTTGAAGGGGATTGAAGGGAATTGAGATGGACTAATTCCCTTGCAAGTTAAAATCCCCTTCAATCCCCTCCAACCCCCTCTAGTTTTCTTAGAGAGGGGATTAATGGGACGAGCCCCAAGGAGGGATCTTGGTGTGGCAGGCAGAACATTCTTCTCACTGCTGTCTTGAGACTTGCCATCTTGGATCTTCTTCTTGAGATGCTGATACTCAACAGCATCCAAGATGTCTTCGGCTTCGTAGAAAGCAGATTTAAGCTTGTCTAAAAGTGGCTCCAAGCGAACCCTGTTGCTCTCGTCCACTACTTCCATCAGCCGCTGCAGTTGTAAAACTTGTACATCAAGTGTCTTCAGCTTCTCCGCTGCATCAAAGTCGAGGAGGGCGAAACCTTTGTTGAGGATCCTTGAAATGATGGGCGAGGCTAGCCAACCTACTATGGATAGGCCCCATCCTACCGCAGCACCAATGGTGACTGGATCCGCCATTACAAGCTTTCAGGGAGGGGTGAGAAGGCTAGGGAGCTGCAGGATCAATATGTACATAGATCTTGCAGGCAATGCACCCGGTGACCTTGAAGACAGCTAGGATACATAAACAAGTACCAGTTGAGAGAGATGCTTTGAGCCTTTGAACGAATACATTATTTCCCACTGGTTTGCTTTATAATACAGGCACTTGGATCTCAAGATGCATATATACTATCCAGTCTTCCGTAGACTTGTGAAATGATAGTTATGAAGTAACAAATCTGTTTACTAACCACAGGGCATATGTGGTAAGCTATCACAAAAGGAATCCAAAAAAATTACATCTCTTTACTGTCGTTTTGTGAAATGATAGTTGGTGTACACGACTCAGTCTTCTTAAGACTTTGTAATAACAGTGAATAACTATAAGCTGGATAAGTTTGGGTCAAATTTCAGAATGGGCGATTCATGCCTCTTCTATACTGCAAAAGGCTTTCGTCCCGCTTTATATATAAAGCAAATTCATGCCTCTTGCGGAATTCATAATCAAGGAGATATGGACAGAGGCATCTGACCTAACGCTTTGGTGCCCAGTGGTTTGCTTTATATTATAACCAACATGCACAATAGTGTATATACTAGGATAGTTGACCTTGAAGACAGAGACGGTAGGAAGTTTCCTGTCAGGTTCTTACAGGAGGGTCAGTTTCAGCATCTTATCATTGGTCCGAGAATTAAAGCTGACCACGCAACATGGTACAGTCTTGGTAAGAACGAATGATAATCAGTTATACTATCTATATATATCTACTCTACCGGTCTGCCTTATTCCAACCAATGAAAAGCTCCAGCATAATTACTCATAAACTAATCACTACAAGAACGAGACAGTATAAAGTTCTGAGAAAAATGATCCGGCCAATATACACCTCCACCCTGATGGAATTCGAAGGCCTCTCAAAAATGTGAGAATTAACAACTAGAGTAATCCAGAAGTAAAGCAAACGGGAATGAAAGGATTGTCCAAGTCCGAGAACTGCGCTGACCTGCCGGAGACCTGTGTGTCATTGGCGTCGTCGTAGATGGCTGGAGTTTCTGACGGCGAACTACCTCCAGCCGCCGGATCGAATCCCCGCCACCGCCGAGCAGCGTCGGAGCCATCGGTGGCCTTCCGTGGCCGCCACTGTGGACTTTTTTTTTTTTAGAACTGTAAACCTTTATTAAGTAGAAATGTTCATAGGAATACAAATTATATCAGGCAAAATAGAAAATCACATGTGACGCCCGGAAGGAAGCGAAGAAGCTGCTTTCGCCAACGAATGGGCTTCCCCATTGTGTTGCCTCCTTTCATGAATTACCTTGAGTGCTCGAAAGATCCCCGCCGGCAGAGGCGGAGGCACTGGGGGGCGAGCGGGGGGCAGACCCCCCTATGGTTCGGCCCCCTCCAATGAGTTCCAGCGGGGACTAGTACAGACAGATTAGGCTTAATATCCGGCCATTAGCATTTAGCAAAGGACATGGGCTAAACTCCAAGTGTCAAGCCCAGAGCGAATATGCAACAAAGGCCAGAAGGTCAAGGTCCCAAGGCTGCACGTACGTACGCATATCGATCAACGCACCCGCACCCATGGGCTGGATATCACGTAACTTGCTCATCAATCAACGCACCCGCACGCAATCACACGGTTGAGGAGACTTCGGACTTCCTGACTCTTTCTTCCGAGACGCGGCTAGGGCTTCATTGTCGCCGGCGCCGAGCGCTGCGCCGTCATGGCTTGGTGATTAGCAAAGCTACCGGCCTGTCGGCTGCCGCTTGAGGCGGATCATTCGAGCACCAGAGCACAAGTCTACGGAGTATGGACTACGACCAGCCCAGCCGAACGGCAACGCCACACGCCCACACTCAATTTCTAACTTGATCCCGTGAATCAGAAACGAAGGTATTATTGTCTATAGATTGATACTATTGTAGTTGTCACTTGTCTTTCAATTTGATCACACAAATCACTTGTTAGTATTAGTATATTTTGTCTCTTATCAGATCAATTACATATTACATATTTGCTTTGTACTCGCATTAGAATTGCATACTTCATGAAGAGGAAGACGCCACAGACAATTTTTTTTTCAAGCCAATTGTTCTAAACTCTAACACTACAAATGAAACGAAAATCCAACTGGGGAGGTAGAAGTCACAGAGCAACCCACTGGACATAGTTGATATGCAAAACCTCAAGGAAAATAGTGAGGCCTCTCTAGAAGTTCTACATCAACATAGAATTGGAAGCACACCATATGAGCAGACCCTCGAAAGCGTCAACAAATTTCAATCTGTTATGTCTCCTATGTACTTCAATG